GTCCTCTGGGTAGGGAGCACGTTCTTCAGGTGGCATCCCAGAGGCTGCTGATGAAGGCAGGTGCCCAGACACCTGGGAGGGAGGACTTGGAGAACTGGTAATTCCTAAATGTAATGATGGGTTAGGGGAACAGTGGCCAGGCGTGCAATGCTGAGGAACTGGTATTTCACACTGCAGAGTTTTAGGTCACAGGAGCAGTCAGCCATTGACAAAGACTGAGCATGGGGCTGTTGTCCCTTGTCCCTGGCACAGTTCCTAAACTCTAGGATTCCCTTGAGTGAGAAGCGCCTCCATGGTATGCTAATGAGGGGGCTGGTGGCTGGAGATGCTGCCTGCACAGCTTCAGGAAGGGGGCATGTCACCAGAACAACAGCTATGACTGGATGTAGAGTTCCAAGCCCTGCCTCTGACTTCGAGGGATGGAGGAAGGGCTGGAGTCTGAGTGGTCAATGCATTAACAACCGTGGCTATATAATGAAACCACTTTAACATGCTGAACTTGGAGGCCCTGGAGGCAGGCAACACATTTATGAGCAAGAGGTAGAGGTGTCACTCTTATTGAAGTCCTGGAAACTGAGCACCATGACCCACAACTCCTCGACCTGGGCATCTCATCAGAAGGTTCTTGAATTATGATTTTGATAATAGACTGGTATATATAAAAAAGACATTTCCCGAGTCCATAGATTATTTTATGAGTGACAGAGCCTGGGGAAGCGTGTCCTCAGGAACCCTTGACTTTGCAGGCAAGCCTGACAGAATGCAGGTAGACAGGGCACCTGGAGCTTGTGACTTGTATCCACAAGGGAAATAGTCTTGTTGGCCTGAGCCCTTAACCCATGGAGTCTGAAATCATTGCCATAACAGTAGTTCCAAAAATATGACTTTTAATGTATCGCTGTAAGACACTGATTTCATTAAGAGTTTGACTTCTTGACTTATGAGAGAGAAAATGATGAGCTTGGTCCATGAAATCAGTTCTAGAAATAATTCTCAATCCTATGTCCTGAAAGCCAGTCACTCTGCCATATTCATCTTAAACTCAACTTGCTGGGCTTCTCAAGCCACCGAGAGAGCAAGAGGCACACAGACCTGAGCATGGGGCCAGCGACAGGCTACCCACGACAGCCTCTGGCTGACCCGGAGATGATGTGGCCTGGCCTGAGGATAGCAAGGAGTAAGAAGCAGACTGCAGAAATATTCGGTGAGCAGACATGTGTGCCTTTTCATAAAGAAATTTGCTATTGGGTCAGACACTGTGTGTGTGTTTGCCTTTTTCTCTGTGTGTGTTTCTGCATGTGTCTGTATACTGGATATACATCATGGAACATTATTCAGACATTAAAAAGAACGAAGTTCTGGCGCACTGTACAACACAGGTGAACTCCGAGGATGATGTGCTAGGTGACCCAACTACACACAGCACGATAGCCAGTCTGGGTTTCCACTTAGACGAGGTTCCTACTACAGCTACAGTCCCAGAGACAGCAGGACGGTGTTTCTAGGTGGAGATGAAGTTCTTGGAGGTGGAAGGTGGTGGTAGCTCAGGACACTACAAATATTCCTGATCCTGAAAATGATAATTTATCTAAAAATGGTTTAACGGGAAACTGAGCATTCTGTGTATTTTAGCACAACAAAGCTGTGTAAGATGATGCATGCCTATCACCCTAGCATTTGGGAGATAGTGGCAAGAGCATCACGTGATTGAACTCATCCTTCTTTACAGACCCAACTTGAGGCCAGCCTGGGCTACACGGGACTTCATACTTGGGCGCCTCTCTCCTCAGACAACACAGGACTATTTTCTCCCCCCGAGAACTCTGCACTCTGCTTCTGAACCACACAGGCTAGTTTCTTGCCCACTCCATGTGCTGACGTCACCAGAGCTAGAATTAGCTACTTCCTCCTCAGGGCCCTGCAACAACACAACACTGCCTTCCCAATGCCTCCAGCATGACCTGCGACTCTCCTCCCGTTAGAATCTGTAGTGTGCCCAAAGACTCCAAGAACTCGCCATCTATGGGAACACACAAGTCTCTGGGACTCTGTCTGCGGCTGGAAATGATCTGTTGTCACAGAACATGTCTTTCCTGACCTGGCAATCACATAAGGCCCTAACCTGTGCTCACTGTCCCTGAGCCCTGGCTTGGTGCTTGGCTTGGTGCACCACTGGCTTCTTGCCTCTCTCGGCCTGGTGTTCCACGCTTCCTTCCCATACTGTTTGCTTTCTTGGTGTGTTCACCTCTCCTACAGCCACAGACCTCTGCCTAGTCACAGCTGCAGCTGCCTTCCAGTCCGTCCAGATGTGAGGCACAGGCCATTCACTGCAAACACCTGCCATTCATTGCGGCTCTGTGATCTTGTGCTTGTACCCACAGCACCCTTTCCCCCAGCAGCTCAGCAGGTGGCTTTTCCAAATCCCTGCTCACGCTCACGTCTCTCCTCACTCTGGTAGAGACATTTGCTCACGCTGAAGCCGCAGCCCCGCTGTGCAGAGCCTTGCTCAGCTATGTCCTCACAGTGTCCTTCCCTGGCAGGCGTTCCTGTCTTTGCAAAGCTGGGCACCGCTTGTCCGCAGGACGCCTCTGATGTCCTATTCAATTTCTGGAACCCCAGCTTCCAATTGTTCCCTGGGTACTAACCTCACCCCCTTCTCTGGCCTGCATTCAAAGGGCTAACATCTGATTGGTTGCTTGTGGTTGGCAGCTTCTGCTACTATGACAAATACCTGAGACAAACAACTCACAGTTTGGGGGTCCAGCACATCATGGTGGCAGCACCTGGCAGAGCAGAGCCCTTCACCTCGTGGCCATGGCCCAGGAGAGAAGAGATGAAGCTGGTGCCAGCACCAGTGAGTTCAAGGTCAACCTGCGCTAGAGAATGAATTCAAAGCCAGTGTAGGCTACAGAGTGAAACCACGTCTGAAAAAATTAAAGTAAACCAACCACAAAGAGAAGAGATCAATGGCCCATGAAAGCCTGGTCCTGGGTTAGAGCCTCAGAATCCATGTAAAAGGTAGGAGAGAAGTGACTGCAGAGTTGTCCTCTGACTTACACGCACGCACGCACGCGCGCGCGCGTGCTGTGGCATGCTACCCACACACATCATACACATACACACATAATCACACACAGCACCCACACAAATAAAATAATAAAATTTTAAAAAAGCCTAGGCCAAAGTTCTGCAACCCCCTGTGGCCTGAAATCTCCCAGCAGGCCTCTTTAAACCTCCTAAAACTTCTAACCTCACACAGTAGCAGTACAGACCTTTAACATGGGGCCTTTGCGGGACCCGAGACCCAAACGAGAGCACGGCTGGTGTCGGCACATATGGGATGCTGGTGCCCAAATGACAGGTCCGTTTATACCAGCGTGCACAGCCCCACACTCTCCTTGTCCTATCTGCATCTCACGTACGTCCAGTGTTGTGCAGTCCCCTAGGATAACTCACGCCGTGAGCTGCAGGAGAAAGAGTCTCTCTGCTTGCAAAGGGGAGACTGGGCTGCCGAGCCACGCTCTAGAGCGGGAAGTGTTGTGGGGTAGTCGATCACACTCTGACACTCCCAAGACTGCCAATAAAGTTTGCTTTTAACTGGGCAGTGGTGGCGCACGCCTTTAATCCCAGCACTCGGGAGGCAGAGGCAGGCAGATCTCTGTGAGTTCGAGACCAGCCTGGTCTACAAGAGCTAGTTCCAGGACAGGCTCCAAAACCACTAAGAAACCCTGTCTCGAAAAACCAAAAAAAAAAAAAAATCAAAAGAAAAAATAATTGCTTTGAATCAGAGGGTGGAGCTAGCTACTAACTGACCAAAATTAGACATAGGTTCTGGAGGACCAAGGACAGATAGAGAGACAGGGCAGAGTAGAGTAAGGTTTAGGGAGATTAGGGAGATTTTTGGCCCTTTTTGGACCAAGGAGAGAGAGAGGAGATTGCTGATGGTTTCTCGGTCCTTCCCTGGTCATTCCTGTTCTTACCCTGATATAAGACTGATATCTGACTCCTGGTTTTTATTGATAAAGAACACTCAGATAAATGCTTCAGGGAAGGGAAGCCTTGACGATTTTAGGAAATTTGTATCCCCAAGTGACGACAGCTAATGTCATTGTGACTGGGTTTGGGATCATCTGGGAGACATACCAGAGTGTGGCCGTGGGGCGTTTCCAGGGAGGTTTAACTGAGGAGACCTGCTGTACTAGCCCACAGACTGGGATCCTGGGCCAGGTAAAGAGGAGGAAATAGGCTGAGCAGGAGCACTCAGCCCTCTCCTTCCCCACTGGATGCCCTGTGACCGACCCCTTCATCCCCCACCCCAGCCAGCTGCAGCCACTATCAGAGCACATCTTCCTATTGAGAAAAAAACAAAACCAAAGCCAACCCTTGATTTTCTTTCCTCAGGTATGCTATCACACCAGGAGATAGAAACTCATACATCAGATGCTTGAGCAAGACCCTTGGGTTTGGTGGACTCCTGGGGAGGGGCGTCCTAACCTTATCACAGCCCTGAGCTGGCTGCAGTTCAGAGCCACAACGGTCGAGCCTCCAGCTCACCTCTATGTGCACCAGTGGAAACCAAGGCTTCACCCCCGTGCAGTAATTTCAGTTGGAAGGGACTCCAAAGACCCATGGTGAGAGGTGGCAGGACTTCCCTTCACCTCCCCAGGGAACATTTAATACACACAGGCTTGATTCAGTGATTCAGCCCTGGCTGTGCCTGTCCAAAGTCCGGCTGCCGGCTACCCTCCGTCACAGCACCAGGGAGACACGACGTGATCAACCTCACAGTCCGCCCCTCCCTTCCATCCTCACTGTATGACAACCGTAAAATACAACTGGCCGGAAATACAGTCGAGTTTCGGCCCTTCCTTCTGGACGCACACACACCGTGGGCTGCATCTTGGCAGGCTCAGAGCTCTGGAACAAACACCCTCTTCCCCCCACTGAGACTGTTGCCCTGTTGGGGGGACCGAGCCTAAGAACGTGCTGGGTGAGCTTACCTTCACCCTGTCCATGCCGGCCTCCATCTTCAGCTGCTCCACGGCTTTCCTGGCCTGGGAGATGCTGGCGGTACTGTTGTTAGACATGCCTTCCTTCATGCTGGGCTCCTGCAAGTGACCATGGGGAGAGGGTTGCAGTGCTGTGGGCCCGGAGAAAGGCGGCCCCTCCCCACTCTTCCTAGTCTCACCATCTGCAGATCCCTCGGCCCCTTCTCAGCCGGATTTGTTCTTTGAGAAGGAAGAAGAAATTCTCCCAGTCCTGACACACATTAGACCACAGGGCCAAGACAAGACATTACAGTCCCCTGAGGAGGATTCTCCGTCGCCCATGCAAGGAGAAACTGCCGGAGGGAGACTAAGGATCACAGTACGTGGCTGAAGTCAGGCAAACACAAGTGTAAAGGACGTGGCTCCCTAGGCTCTGACTGAGGCAGAGGCCAAGGCTGGGATCGCTGAGAGCCCATTACCCCTGGGCCCTGCAGCACTAGGCATGGCATTTTTTTTTTTTTTTTTTTTTAGACAAGACTTTCTTGGTATTGGCTGGGCCAGCTGCTCAGAGCAGAGTTCAGCAGGTGTGGGTTCATAATCTCGCTTGGAAATCTCCCAGCAAAAAGGAGAGCCACACATAACGAGCAGTTCGAGTTTCAGGGACCTCTTAGCCAGACTAGTCAGCCTTGGCAGGGGGGTCCCTTGCCTGGCCTGGCAGGGAGGGGCTGACACAGTGGTGGGAAAGCCTCTTGGCTGGAAGTGAGGAAGGAAGCGGCTTTAGGCAATCGGAGCTAGAGACAGAAGAACTTGGAAAGGCAGGCCAAGAGGGAGGCTTTGGAGCTGTCCCTGACTCATCTTTTAGACTCCACTTGACTGACACCTCTACTTTTCTGAGCCCACTAGCTGCCTCTACAAGACCCAAGTTAGTATTCATGAAGAAATGGAACAGAGACAAAGGGGATGGGGTGGGACATGAGCTTTTCCCGGGGAGAGTGTTTCCTCTCCCACTACAGTCCAGCTTGGCGAACCAAATAGTTTATTGGACTTGTTTACAAAGCACAAGCAAGGGTTTGCTTTCTAGATCACTGAGCAATCCATCCCAACACGGATGCAGATGGAGTTCCTCTTCAGCTCACCTTCCACCCCTATCTGCTCTGGCTCCTCGGAGACCACAGACAGCTGGGCAGAATTGCATTCAGCCTTGGGAGGGAGTGGCTTGGGCTTGGGTGCAGTCTGAGGAGGCCCCCCTTCTCCTCTGAGGGCACTGTGCGTCATCTCAGCTGATGAAGGAGGTCACGGCAAACATGCTGAGAGGACAGGATCCCACTACAGGGTGGTGACAAAGCCGGACATCCATGTGCCTCCAGGGGACCCTGACTGGGTGTTTGGCCTCCAAGAAGGTAAGGCACATGGAAAAACGAGCCAATAGTTCAGGGCCAGCCTGGGGTCTTGAAGTTGGTTTCCCTGGGCACCCAGGCACATTCATATTGACATGTCATCTAGGGACCTCGGCAGGCTGCACCGTTGGCTCCCAACTCAGCAAGTGCCAACCTGCTGCCAGGATGAGGCCGTTTCATCCCAGGGCTGTGGCTATGACCTGACTCAGGACAAGGAAAGGATCTCCAGAAGGGTGGGGTCATCACTCCTCCATCTGCCTTGGCTAACAGCGTCCCCAGGGGGAGAGGAGGTCTAGGACTGACAGCGATGGCATAAGGTGTGTCTGCTACCATGGGGACCCTGCTCCCTGAGCGTCATCTTTCTGTTCTGTAGAGAACCATTCTTACCTGCTGAGAGGTGGTACAGGGACAGGTCCAGGTAGGGGACACTGGTGGCAGCAGCGGTTAGCTGTCGGAAGAGAGGCCGATTCAGGATCCTGCAGTGGGGCTCCCCTGAAAACACAAACAGATGTACGTTGTCCCCAGGGTCTTCATGGGCTCCCTCAGTTGTCCTGCCCAAGCTCAGTGGCTGTGCCTGTTATCCCAGCCACTCTCATACCAGCCCTGGGGGATGACAGTGAGCTGAAGGGTGAAGAGGAACTCCGGAGGACATAGAACACACTGGGACACAACTCAAGGCGCGTCCACCCTGAGCCTTGCCTGACAACCCATGTGCCCAGCTGCCCTGCCCCTTTCTCTTGCCAATCTAGTATGCTAAGAGAAAAGAACTTGCGGGAATCTTCTATTTTGAAATGATAACAACTGACAGCTATTAATTGTAGAGATAAATAAATCATTTATTTATTTATTTCTGGTTTTTTGAGACAGGGTTTTAGCTTTGGAGCTTGTCCTGGAACTAGCTCTTGTAGACCAGGCTGCCTTCGAACTCACAGAGATCCCCCTGCCTCTGCCTCTGCCTCCCAAGTGCTGGGATTAAAGGCGTGCGCCACCACCTCCGGGCGAGATAAACAGATCTTACTGTGGCCTCTCCACATATTTCATTTTCTTTTCTAAAAAGATGTGAGATCCAGAGGTCGAGAGCACCGGCTGCTGTGGCAGAGGGCTTGGATTTGGTTCCCAGCACCCACAACTGCTCACAACATTCCGTATGTCAGTTCCAGGGGATCTGATGTCCTCTTCTGGCCTCTGCAGGCACCAAGCATGCACACGGTGCACATTAATATGTGCAGGCAAACACTCATACGCGTAAAGAAAGGAAAATCTTTTTTTTTTTTTTTTTTTTAATGTTAGCTAGTCATGCTCATGACTAGTCTTGAGGTAACATGACTGTTATCTCAGTACTTGAGAGGCTGAGGATTGCATGTAACAGATCATCAAGAGAGAGAGTGGGGGCTGGGAGCCTGTGTGAAAACAAAACAGACAAAATCAAGACTGAGGGGAAAGGGTGTGCACGCACATGTACACATGCGCACAGCGGATACCTAAAGCCATAGACCACGCTGAACCCTACACATGCTGTGGGTTTCTCCATACACGCACACCAACAAAAACGATTAGCTTTCTCTTCAACACAGACGCTGTGGTACAGAGACGGCGGGGCGGCTGAGTGAGCCTGAGGTGAAGGCACTTCCCAGAAGACGCTGAGATAGTGCCGATTATGTCATTGCCCCCGGGGACATCACTGTCACAGCACCATGGGCTTTGGGGGCACCTTTCCAGTTACTTAGATGGATTCTGGCCACCCTTTGAGAGACAGTGATCCTTCAGAAAAGCATCTAGACTAATCGCTGCCCGTTCACTTGGCATTTGCACCCCACCTTCCGTCCAACAGTGGAAAGTGTTTCACCCACCATCCCATTGGTGTGCCCAGGTCCCAGGGAGGCTTTGAGACACTGTCCTTCAAGATCTCCCGGGTAAATTAGCGCGGGGACCACGAGAGAGGGTAAAGGGGAAGGGGAGGAAGGAGGGGAGCGGAGAAAAATGTATAGTTCAATAAAACAATTAAAACCCATAATGTGAGCTCCTGGAAATAAAAGATAAAATTGGAAATTAAAAAAGACCACTGTCCTTGTGTCCTCCCATTCCCTTTTAAGTATTCTTATTATGTTTATGTGTATATGGGTATGTCTGCATGAGTTTATGTGCACTTCGTGTGCAGGACCTGGAGAGGACCAGAAGAGGGTGTGGGGTCCCTTGGAACTGGAGTTACAGATGGTTTTGAGCTGCTCCGTAGGTGCTGGGAACCAAGCTCAGGCCATCTACAGCAGCAAGGAGTGCTCTTCAGCCTCGTAACGGCTGAGCTGGCTCTCCAACCCTCATCATCACGGTTTCTTAAATGTTTGTGTGACAAGTGTTTGGTAGTGAATGGATTTGGCCCCCTTTCATCTCTGGCTTTTCAATGGCGTTACATTTTGCTACAATGTTTTCAAAAGCTGTCTATCCAGCCTCAAGGGGAGGAAACATGTTGATTTCTAAACTACAAGGTGCTGTCCTGTCTTGTGAGATCACTGGATATCACCACTTGGCCATCAGTGCACAGCAACAGCCAAAGTCAAGGCTGCCTGGTGCCCATGGAGGCCGGAAGAGGATATCAGATCCACCTGGAACTGGAGTTCCAGATAGTTGTGAGATTATATGTGGATGTTGGGAATTGAACCTGGGTCCTTTGGACAAGCATCTAGTGATCTTAACCGCTGAGCCATCTCACCAGCTCCAGGGGCCTTGTTTAATTGTTTTCTGTGTCTCTAGTGCCTGGGTAGAACAAATGCATAGTAGCCATTCCCCGGGCCAGTAACAGCACCTCTTGAGGTATGGTACCAAAGCAGATAGATGTTCAGCATTCTGGTCCACCGTGTGCACAGCGTCTGCCATGTTCTCACAGCCACGAATCGAGTTGCTTTGCCGTGCTTTCCTGACCACTGGGCTGAAAGCTCCGAAATCATGAACCAAAACACATCTTTACTTACTTAAAAACGCAAATTCCCACACCCAGCTCTGACCTATTGAACAGGTTCGGTAATCTCGAAGTAGGAAGCAGCTTAACAATCTTTCCAGGTGACGGGGGTGCCGACAGCCTGAGAACCACAGGCCCCGGGAAACAATGGGGATGACTGGAAGGAAGGAGCTGCCTTGCTGAAAACCCCTTGGCCTTTCTGTCAGCCTGGCTCCTCACCACGGGACTGACATGACAGAAAAGAAGACGTGTCTGCCTGCACAGACTCAAACTCCCGTTGAATTCTATGGGAAGGAGCTCCAAGCAGCCACATAAGGAAAAGGCCACCTTCCCCATGAGGTTTTGTAGCAGACCAGTCACAGGAAGCCCTTGTGGACAGAAGTGGGGCAGAGATTTTCTCTGCATCCAGAGATATCATGTACTGAGTCCTGAATCCCTATAGTCTGAAACACTACGCAGCCATACAAATGACTTCTGAATTGGAACCCTTTATCTAGCCAGTGATAAACAATAAGACACGAATGTGGGCTGGGGGTGTAGCTCAGAGGGACGGCCCTTGTCTGGCATGTTCAAGACCCCAGGTAAGATGCCCAGACAAACCACCTCAGCAGGGGCAGCAGTAGTGAGCACAGGCACACAGTGCCGAAGGGTCACAGGCAGTAACGTTCCGTGCCACGCAGCTGAGCAACGTCTTAGGGGTGGATGCTAAGCACATTTTCCTCTTAGCCAGTTAGCACCCCAAGCGGAGGAGTGTCTGCACTGAAGGTTCTTCCAACACAGCTTTTGGATAAACTGGATTTGAGAGCCACAAGGATGTCACACATTGAGTAAGTATCTTAGAGTAGCCAACGAGGGATGTCACACTACCTGTGACACATGACTGAAAAGGAAGTGAGTGAGCCACGAAGTCACCTGAGGTTGTAGCTATTGCAGAAGGAAAGGGTAGAGCCGCCAGCGGCCCAGAGTGGGGGCACACACTGTCATTTTAGTAGCTGGGGAGACTGCGGGGCAGGAGGATGGGAGTTTGAGGCTAGCTGGCTACTTAGTAATGCCTTGTCTCAGAGAGAGAGAGAGAGAGAGAGAGAGAGAGAGAGAGAGAGAGAGAGAATAGAATGAGCAGTTTTCAACACCTAAGGATTTATTTTCTTACTCTTTAGCATGATGTGTTTCAAAAGTAGCAAAGTAAAAAGAACAGGAAACCAAATAAGCTTCTATCTATCAACTAGTTTGAACAGAACTATTTTTTACCATATTTGTTTAATTTCCACATTGCTTTTGAAAACGCGCTTGCTTTTTAATTTCATACGTGTATACGATGCACTCGGATGCTCTTCACCTCCAGTCCTCCCCCAATTCCTCGCAGATCCACCTCCCAACACCCACTCCCTCCCAACTTCATGCCTCTTTTTTTTTTTTTAATAGCGCACCAAGTCCAGTTTATGTTGCCCATATCCTCCTGGGCATTGGACCATCTATCCGAGTGTGGTCGACCTACCAGGGACCACATCCTTAAAGAAATGTGACTCTCCCTGCCCCAGAGGCCAGCAACTGTCAAAGCCTCTCAGCTGGGGGCGGGGGAGACCTTGAGTTCCTCCCCACTCCTGGAGCGTTAGCTTTATCTGTTCTCAAGGACATCTAAAGAGGGTATTTTAGGGTCACATGACTAAAAGTTACTCTTCCTCAGTCATTCCGAAAGTCACCTGAATATCCTCACTCCTGAAGGAAACAACAGGGAAATAGGTGTCACCCCACCCAAGCAACCTGTCCCCCCCCCCCCAACCTCATTACAGGAGTGTGGTTTCTCAGCTACTCCAGCAGGAACCACTGTGCAAGCTAAATGCTGTGACAGAGAACTCTGATATATTTTATAGCTTGGGTTTCAGTCATTCAATTTACACTGGGGTATCTCCCAATCCAAAAATAGCTAGTCTCACCCAGATGCCAAACAAACACAGGAAAGAGAAGTCCAAAGTGATATCTACAGCCCGTGTTTGAGGTTCATTCCCAGCTGCTCCGGGGCCGAATGTTATTTACCAACCAGGACCCATTTCTACTGTAAGTAGGTTGCCTGGTAACATAGCTGACACGTAATATCTTATCTGGTTTCCAGGGTATGGTAGCAGAATAATGGCTTTCCCCCAATGCCCTAATCCTCAGACTCTGTGAACATGCTGTGTTACAAGACACCAAGGAATTAGAAGTAGCAGATGACCAGCTGATATTAAGATTTGCCATATTAAGGCTGTCATGGATCATCCACAGGATCTCGTGCGATCACAGGGTCTTTCTAAGCGGAAGAGGGAGACATGGGACTAGGTGGGAGTCAGAGACAGACTTGAAAATGCTACGCCCAGGAACTTGAAGGGGAAACAGGACCAAGTTTGAAAGTGTTCAGCCTCCACAAGCTGGGAAAAGAAAGGTCCAAGACTTCCCTGTGAGCCCCTCAAGGTAACATCATGGCCTTGCTGGACCCTGGCTTCAACTCTTGGAGACATGTTTTGGACTTCTGACCTCTATAAATGTAAACAATCAGTCTGTG